GTTCTACACTGCGATACTCAATAGATTTAGGTTTCTCTTTACTTGCTTCTAACACAGATGATGATGTTGAGGGAATATGAGGGGTTCGAGTTTGGTGGAGAGAAGTGTTGTTGTTTGAATCACTTGATTTCTTAGATTCGTTCAAATTCTCTTTTGTACTGACTTTGTTAGAAACACCTTTTTCTGGAACATTGTCAGTTTTTGCACTGTTTTGCTGTGCAGAACTCTTTGACGCAAAACAACTTGAATTATAAACATTGGAAAATGGTCGGGAAGTAAGATTACACACGTTTGATGTTGGCTTCACAACTGATAATGGATTAACATTTTTCTTATTAGAAGTTGAAGAATCTAAACTATTGGGCCATGACTCATCTTCAGTTGAGGAAGACAAAGAGTCATCACTCACTCCTTTATTATAGCTAAATTGGAAAGTTTTAGCTGAATCCCTTTTCCATTTTGCAAGTTCCAACTCTTTTTCAAGTTTGGCCAAATGAATTTTCTCTATCTCTATTTTTATTTCCCATTCTCGTTCCCATTCTCGTTTTTTCTTCCAAAACTCGTTTCTTTTCTTCCAAAACATCATCTACAAAATTGCGCACTATTTCAATTCTGTTTTTGTATATTTCACTGGATTCAATTAGTTTGATCAAAGCTATTTTTGTTGCATTGACCGGAATGGTTAAGCCCAACTCTTCAGCTACCTCTTTTAGCTCATCTTTCTTTAGATTTAAAGTAACAGACATTGTTTATTCACTTAAACTCACTAAACAATGCACTACAGAACTTAACAAAACCTGTCACACTCAACACTCTAATGCAACACCTTAATTAACCTAAGTTAACAACAAACAAAGGCAACTAACACATAAACTCAAACTAAAGCTTCACTAATACAATGCACTGCAGAACTTAACAAACTGTCAAACTAAACTCTAATTCGACCTTAATTAACCTAAATTAACACAACAAACAAAGGCAATTAACACATAAACTCAAACTAAAACTTCACTAATACAATGCACTGCAGAATTTAACAAACTGTCAAACTACACTCTAATTCGACCTTAATTAACCTAAATTAACACAACAAACAAAGGCAATTAACACATAAACTCAAACTAAAACTTACACTAATACAATGCACTGCGGAATTTAACAAACTGTCAAACTAAACTCTAATTCAACCTTAATTAACCTAAATTAACACAACAAACAAAGGCAATTAACACATAAACTCAAACTAAAGGTTTCACTAATACAATGCACTGTAGAACTTAACAAAACCTGTCACACTAAACACTCTAATTCAACCTTAATTAACCTAAATTAACACAACAAACAAAGGCAATTAACACATAAACTCAAACTAAAGGCTTCACTAAACAATGCACTGTAGAACTTAACAAAACCTGTCACACTAAACACTTAATTCAACCTTAATTATAAATTAACACAACAAATAAAGGCAATTAACACATAAAACTCAAACTAAGGCTAATTAGGCAATATCCACAATCAAAGACATTATACTTTAGTAATAGACACACTATACTATATACTAAATCAAGCTAAATGTCCAATACTTTAGAATTATTAAACTTCACCTACCGAACTCATGGTAGAATGCAGCCAACGATTCGTGGAAATCCTATGAACTAATCCGTCTCCGGGAGACTGGACCAAATGTTCGATAGCTCGGACTCAAGAAACAAATTCCAAAAATGACACATACTCAGTTAATGGAAATAATACTCGACACAGTGGACTGTAAATAAAACTCCTTTATTTTTGGCAGTCATCAAACTCGAAGATGGAACTGCCCACATAACCTTTCACTGGGGTTACACTCAATTATTTATGCAGTCATCGCGCTCATGGATGGACTGCCACAAGCAACCTTTCTTGATGGTTGCTGGGGTTGAACTCAATGAATTATGCAGCCATCGCAACTCATGGATGGACCTCTAACACCAACCTTTTCCTTCGGTCACTAAGTTTCAACTCGTTTTACTTACATTCCTTCTTTCTCTCCCTGTAATGGACTGTAAATAAAACTCCTTTTATTTTTGGCAGTCATTCCCTCATCCTTTCACTGGCCCTCACCCCTTGATGGTCCAGACACCCCCACAAACAGGATGTTTTCCGGGCATCGGCGTTGACCTCTCTCCCTGGCCCAGGCAGGATGTTTTCCGGGAAGCCTCCCCAGGCGGGTTTCGACGTAATTCTACACTCAATCGATCCAATAATGACATGTAATATACGCTATTGATAGTTCTATCTTTTCTCAATATAGTCGGTGAACAAAATAGAGAGTTTTTGCATACCGTACGTTAGTTACCGTAGGACATCCGTTAGCTTTTTTCCCTAGCGCGCATGCTCATAGGAAACTGCGCACGCGCACTAGGGAGAAAAAGCTAACGGACGTCCTACGGTAACAAACGTACGGTATGCAAAAACTCTCCAATATCATGCATGTACCAAATTGCGGATCGATTAATGCCATAACCTTGCCTGCTGATTTTTGGGTTTTTGGTCGCTTTGGACGGTTTCACCAGCTGATGTCCACTCAGCTGACGATCATTTTGATTCAGGTGCGTAGTAGGGCATTCATTGTCCCATACCAATGCGAAAAGTCCTTTTAATTTCGATTGAATAGCTCCAAACAGCGCTCTGAATCATCGACGCGTTGTTGTTTTCGGTCCAGTGTGAGCAAACGCGGCACCCATTTCGAAAACAACTGGAGCATGCTCACTATCTTCACACACTACCTTCTTCTGAGTAAACACACTACCTTCTGATATTTTTAAGGTGTCAGCTATCTTACGCAACTTCACTTTAAGGTCTATATTATACACTATTTTGTAGATTTTTTTGATGTTTTCAGCGAGAGTGTTCCGCATCATCAGCATTGTACGACCGCCCTTAAATTCAGTATATAAGTCAATAAAAGTTTATTTATCTGGTGCATAGTCTTCCTAACGCTTATCAAGCCATTTTTTGACTTCAACAGCCTTTTTCCTCATCAAAAAACAATGTTTAGTCAACACAGGACATTCTTTTTTTATCCATTGTTTTGAAAATTACAAAACTGGGGTCACTAGAACTACTGTAACCTGTAAACTAATTATCAGAATGTCATGAAATGTTCACACGTATCGTTTGAAGGATGCTACTATCCAAAACTCTTATGGTCTGTCAACAGTGTCACCATGTGTTAGACAGGAGACTTATTGAGTGATGTGTTAAATCCCCCAACTCGGGTAATTGAATTCAAATTATACAAAACGACACATTTATCAGGCACTCAACGTGTCAGAAGCTCTCCTTGAGTGATCCAGGAAAACTGATTTTATACATATTGCATAATCCACACAAGTTGAGTCAATGATCCTGTACAGCACTTTTGGATTCTCCAAACAATTCAACAACTTGGTTCGCCAAATTGAGTATCTTAAGAGTTTTTTCGAATTACAGCAGTTTTTGAATGAACCATAAGAAAACTTTTTGCCTCAGTGCCTAACCTCATTGCATCGTTTATCCATGCTAGAGATGGCCCAAATACGACTAGTTATTAGACCCTATGTCTTTTTGTGAGTTTCGTGCAATAAATTATCCTTTGCTTTTATTTTCTAATGTAATCACTTATTAATATTAACGTTGCAAATATTCATGATAAATTTCAACTGGCAATTTCTTCTTGGTACGATATTTTTATTTCAATGAATGTGGGTTAGAAAACATTGGATAAAATATTTTACTAATATTTAAATATTTACTTCTTTATGAACCAATAGCCGCATATCGTTAAACAATTATGTGTCATATAATATTTTTTTTAAAAAATGATACATATGATGAGGTGGGCAGCTAGAAAATTTCTGTCTGTGCATATTAAATTTTGCGTTCAAAAGAACACCGAGAGAGAATTTTCTTTTTAACTAAAAGCAGGCTGTTTCCAAAAAGGAGCTTGATTTAGTTGCAGCAACGAATTAGCAAAAATACTCGAAATAGTTTCTAAACAGAATAACATGTGAATCTCACTTAAATTTAAGGTGATAACAGTTGCAACATTCAGGTATTATTTCTCTCATTAAAGAGATTCACCGTACCGAGGAACCTCGCTTCTACAGAAGTCTCTGAGAATTTTATCATCCCCTGCAGTACTCTTGGTCTTTTAAGAAAACAAGCGTTTCAGACAAGTTTGTTAACTTGTCTCCTAATTGCGCAGCACTAAGCTACAATAGTTGAAATGCTTTTCATAAAATTCAATTTGAGCAAATTCATTATTAGCAGCTTCTGTTGTGATGAAGCACCCGTATATAGAAGTCAGCAGTGCTTTCCGGGAGGACTTTTAGTGTTGTGTATAGGAGAAACCCGGAAAACTCCCACCAGTATTCCGATTAACGAGGAAAGATGCTGAACATTCCAAACGCCATCAAGGCTCCTCGTTTTTGAAAACAGTATTTACAACAAAGTAGCAAGTGGATTAAATATCCTTCCTAATGCTCACCAGCAGCGCACGTTGACGCTGAGCCACGAGTAAGGCGACATCTTAGTTCTCTGTGTATTTACAAGACTATTTTGAATCAATATATTTGTTTAAGAAATAGAAAGATGCTTTATGTCTACCTTGAAATATTACGATAAGTGCAGAGAAGAACATGTAGTTTTTTCAAGAGAATTTAAGAACTAAACTTTCATAACTTTAAAAGATGTTGTTGTTGTTGTTGTTTCTTATCCCACTTGGCTGGCCAAGCCCACGAGCCCATACGTACTCATGATTGAAGGAGAAGGAAGCAGCTTCTGTTGTGATGGAGCACCCGTAGGTAGAAGCTTGACTTTCAGCTCCGTGACGCTCTTACAGTCATAAGAGACCGGGACCTACGGCTTAAAGTGGATTCCGAACCACTACAAACATCCATGGCACCGCCGGGATTCGAACCCGAAACCTGTGGCACCGAGCGCAGACACTCGGCCATTCAGGTCCCAACTTTGCCAACGGCACGCAGTGTTCCCAGGTGGTCACCCACCCAAGTACTGACCGCGCCCAATGATGCTTGACTTCGGTGATCTAACGAGAACCGTTAAAAGATTTTACTATACTGAAAACCTATTTACTTAAACCTTAAAACCTACCGTTTTACTATGTTAATAGTTTTTAAAAATTGAAATCTTAATTCAAAATTTTAGAGTATTATTTTAGAGTATACAGTTTCAATTACAAATATAAACTACAGCATTCTATTTGCAACGACCTAAAATAGCCCTTCTACTTATTTATATTTTCGTAAAATAAGTACATACAAAATATCTGTAAATAATAAAATCTCTGTTAATTGGACCCAATAAAATCCTAAATATAGCTATAAATCAGAAATAAGTTTACTTTCCAGATATTTTTCATTCTTTTTCAAAAATACTAAAAATATTGTATTCACTTTATTTTTGCTTAATTCTAGTCTTTTCAAAGTTCTGTTTAGTGTGTCCAGGAAGATAGATTTTATACTGTAATTAGATTATCAGTTCGTTTCAGTTTCATGTCTATCACGTGGAAGATTCTTTCTTTCCTACAGTTCTTTCCAATAGCGGTCATAAGTTCCTGAGTTCTCCGAACACTAAACTTCATTTCCCTAACTTATCTGTTTAGAATATTTAATCCATTAATAAATCCTTAATTGAAAAATGCATTGAACCTTGCATTTTCGGAGATGTTTTTTATCGAGGGTATTCGTATTTGTTTTATGAAAATGGAGCCTTAAAGCGGATAATTAACTTTTTCGATTTAGCAGCCTCAGATTCTTCAATTCTTAAGCATTCTTTTAGAAAAATCGTTGGCTAGCACATGTTTTCCCGACTCAAAATCCCAAACGCTTTTTTAATAACACACTTGTATTTTTATTCACTTCCCTAGACTTACAGGTAATAGCTGCAACTTTTAAAACAGGTGCTTGGGATGCACTTTGAATTACGATAGTTTATACTACACACTTCGATGAAGGTAAAAGTCTTGTAGATTATCTGATAAATGAACAGTTTTACACACACATTCAAGCTTGTTTCGTGATTCACATTGAAGTTTTTTATTCTTTGCAAAGGAATCAACATGTTATTGTTTCTCTGAGAATGTCGCTTTATTGTTGCATTTGAAAATTTCAGCTTCTTCAAATTTCTTATTTACCAACTAATAATTGAATATAAAAACTTCAATTCCCAAAAGTAATGGAGAACAGATTCACTACTTAGTTTTGAAATCAAGAAAGCAGTTTTTTGCTCTAGAAAACACTTAATGTATGCGAAGGAAAGATTTCATAGAGAAATTCAAAACATTGGATTGGGATAAATTTATTTTTTATACAATACCACATAATAGCATTTTAATATGAAATACAAATGAGATAAAACTTTTGTAAAATATAGAGAAATGTTTCAATGAAACTTGAAAGTAACACTTCCTATTTTTCCATTTTCTCCATTGCTTTTTCATATATTTTACACTAAATATAAAGCATGACAGATTTGCAATAATTTCCGAATGACCTTTCCAAGGCCACTAAATTATAGATTTAATTGCTTCCATAAGACCATGCATGTCTTAATGTATTTGTTTACCTCTTGTATACAATGAAGAGTTTTCCACGCTAAATTTCTTTTTTCTAGGCTTTTTCTCAATTACTTTGATCGCATTTAGCCAATAGCAATAGATTTTATTGATTCAAAATTGCTAAGTAATCTATGTTGTATAATATGTATGTTATATAATATATTAATGTAAGTATTAACATAATATGCACATCACGCATATATATGTAATATATGCGTGCAATCTATATCGTGATATCTTTGCTATACGGGCTTTAGCGATGTCCAAATTTTAGAGTTCGTCTGTTCCTGCAAATTGTAGCCTGACTTCGAAAAACCAGTTCAATTCATTGCACAACACACAAATTTTTTTAAACATGAAAATCGCAATTTTTTTTTTTTTTTTTTTTTTACTAATTCTTACTAATTTTGGATGAGCTAAAGACAAAAATGATAGTGAATATTGGCAATTGCCTTTTGCTAAAGAAAGCACCGGGTTACTCGATTCACTCAGTTTTCTTAAAATATATGTGAAAACTGAATTATAGGAATATATAACAACAAATTATAATAATTTGTAAATTAAATAGCAAAATTTATAAGATATACATTAAAATATATGCCTGATAGATTGAATACCTATGAAGATATTTTATATCTTATTTGAAAAAGTGAGATTTAGAAACATGGCTGCCAAGACTTTAATGTTTTACAAGCTTTATAGCTGCTTTCGAGTAGATCCGTTGGAACAAATTAATAGGCAGGAGGAGAACGGCAGTCTAGCTGTCACACTGTTTCCTGCCTTAGCTCTAAATATAAAATGTGACAGTTGTTAGTTGTACGCGATGTTTTCTGTGAGAAAAAAATATTGCAGTGAATTTGCTTTTTAGTTAAACACATTGTATTTTTTAGAGCGCTGATGCAGCGTAAATGGTTAATTCTTCTAACAACTTCTGCTATGTATGTAGATACGTGACATTGGAAGCCCAAAAATTTTCCATCACTCCTTTAGTGAAAAAGGTATGTCACCTTAATTTTGGATGCAAAATTGAGAATTAGAACAAAAAAAATAGAGCAGACAACCTCACATATATGCTGTAATTTTTGTTCAAGGAAACTTTCCTTGTGGCTGCGGGATAAAAAGAAAATGCACTACCATTTACCATTCCTATAATTTTGCAGGAACAAAGTAATCACGTAAATGACTGCTACTTTTGCATGGGCAATCTCTTCGTGAAGGAGTCACAAGGAAAAAAGTCGAAAGTCCATACATGTATATATCATCTGTTGGGCAATCAATTTCCCATAATAAAAGGCTTCTCATTCCGGAAACTCCAAATGAATTCTCCAGATTGATTCTCCAGCTTTGAAATATAATGATGATGATGCTATATTCAGTTTCCTACTTTCCAGAAACTTTTGAAAATCTAGAATATTTTGTTGAATTGCCTTCAATATAACAAGTACAGTTGCCATATTTGTTGTGATTTAAAAGTGATAGCTCTTCACATGGGTCTTCAATCAGGGTATACGAAGTACAGCTGCTTTTTATGTGAGGGGAACAGTAAAGTCAAAACTTCGTATTATGTAAAAAACAATGGCTTACTAAAATAGATGATGATAATGGAGAAAGGAATGTTCAAACTCCATCAATAGTAGAGGCAAAAGAATCCTTCTACCACTTTGCACATAAAACTTAACTTAATGAAACATTTTGTAGAAGGCATGGACAAGAGGGTATTCTGTTAAGTTCTCAATACTATCTAGCGATTCTTTCTCACCCAGCCAACGATTTAATCATTTCTGTTTTATTTCTTTTCCAAGGTCTCTACCCAGTGTATGTAACTTCCTTATCGTGCTCTTTCAGTTACTCGATCATTTTATTATAATTCTCTCCCACGTATTTTAATTATTTTCATATCTTATTATTAAAATAATAATAATAAAATTTTTAAAAAAATTTTAAAAAAAACTCTATTAAACATTTTTTAGTATTTGGGCAAGATTCCTTTTAGTCTTTACCGCTTTCTTTCCCCAGCCATGCTCCTTAATCTTACCAAACGACAATTCAAGATAGAAGCTAACGGCTGTTGCGCAGCCACGGAGCTTCATCACAAACAAATCATCATCATGGACAAGAGGGGACCATAACCTTCCTAGCCTTTAAGTTCAATAACAAATTTATTGCAATCGGTGAAGCTAAACTGAAAAGTAGTTTCCATTGGTCCACAAATCCGTAAGCTCTTTAAAAATGCAAATTTTGATAAGAATGCTCCAACAAGATGAGAAAGAAGCTTGGAATGCTTTTCGCCTTATGACAATAAGTTTTTTAGGAAATAAGAAATCAAAGAACTAAAATCAGTGATGGAAATTTTGTCTGCATACAAGAAACTTAGATGCACTATGTCCTTAAAAAGGCATTTCCTGCAGTGTCATTTGGACTTCTCTCCTGAAAACAAGTTAGATATGAGCCAGGTGAGCGTTTTCATATGGACATTGTAAAAATAAAGAAAATATATCTGGGAAACTGGTTCATTAAAATGTTGGCAGGCCACTGTTGGACAATTTTCAATGGTGATTCTGAGGAAATGCATAAATGACAATCCAAGCGTAAACAAAAAGTAAACAGGTACAAAGGTATGTTAACGCATCATTTTGTATTGAAAACATTAAGTTACAAATATCTTAGGAATGAGAGCCAATTTCAAACATCCATTGTCATATTCGTGTTCATCAACCCAAAATTAGTAATAAATAGCTATTTTAATCTCAGAGAAAACATTTTATCGAAATTTGTTGTTATGTGTTATCTCCTCTTGTATTCAAGTCAACGGCTGTCACTTCGTAAATCGTAAATTCGTTAAGGTGATTTTATCCATTAAAATTAGTCCAGGCGGGTCAATTCTTAGCCTACACTGATTAAAAAAATATAGAGGAATATGCATTTCGTGTTTAATCCACACTAGAGGGATTTTTCATTCGCTCTTAAACTTTTCAACTTTTTTCTCAACTTTTGACTCGATTATATTGTATATTCTTATATTTTTATTAATTACTTTGTTGATCAGCCATAAATCATATGAATCACAAATCGATGAGTACCATTTTTAAGCCAATAGTTTATATTAATAGAAAACACATGAATAACGATATTTTTCTATACATTTTTTTCTCATCAATGATCGACTACGCAAAATTTTGATTTTAAAAAAGTGCTATATAATTTGTAAAATTATCCTACGTTTATTTTGTGCAAAGCTGCAAATGAATCTTGCACAATTTCATTATGAAATTTTGTTCAATCCCATTCTATCATTACAATAATAAAATCAATCAGTTGCGAGTCACATAAATTGCATATTGAGGATTAAATTTTATTTAAACTAATGCAAGATGAGTCCTAAATTTAATAGTTGACAGAGCAAACAAAAGAAATATTTTTCATTAATCAATGTATTTATAACAACACAAGGAAGGCAAAGTTCTTTTTTTTTTAAATTAAGAA